AAATCTTATGTTACACTGAAGAATAATGACCTACATTGTACTGATGCTATAACAACTTGTGATTGACTTGTTACACTACATATGGACAATTTGGGTAGCAGGTAAAACAGGGTATATTGAAAAAGGCAATGTGCATCTCCTACTCTAGAAAATCTAATCAGCAGCCTTCTTCATTGAGCTGAACACAGCACTACTTTGAGGAAACAATATTTGTATAGGGTCTTTTGAACATACTTAGAACATATAACATAAAGGTAGAGTGAAAAAGAAACCACACCATGCTTGCTAAAAGCCATATCATATTTAAAAGGAACCCTTCCAGAAAAGAACTTGGATTTATTTTGCTCTTTGCATCACTACAATACTAACAAACAGCTCTGCTGTTGCACTAGGTAATGCCCCTCTTTTAAACTTTTAGATGCTACAAAAGTAGATACCACAATCAGCAGTACTTTCATGCCAAACAGTGGCATTCAGCATTAGAACTATGCAAAGCTTCAGTCACCGATTCGATTCAGCAGAGATTCAGCCTGATTCAGTGGATTAATTTCTGAATCCAAATCAAATCAGGAGACCCTTCAATCTCTCTAAATCAAATCAGAACCCTCTGAATCAATTTGGGGAGATTTGGACATAGACACAGCTTTAAATGTTTTTTCTACATACCTCAAGGTACCAGGTGGCTCATGAATACTGAGATGCTGGAGTGGATGAAGCAATCCATGGGAGCACAGGGGGGTCCCCAGTGTGCTTTGCAGTGGACCTGGAAATGGACCAGAAGCACTTCCAGTCCACTTCCAGGTCCACCGGGGAGCACACAGGGGCGCCCCCCCTGTGCCCTCCCAGCTTGATGACTGGTGCCTCCTGGGCCTGGAGGGGCACCCAGGGTCCCCACACAGCCAATCGCCCAGCTGGGGAGGCATGGGAGGGCCCCCCCCACACTTGATTGCAGACCCAGAAGTGGTCCGGAAGTATTTCCAATCCACTTCTGGGTTCGCCGTTGAACACATGCCCCCCCCCCCCACACACGCACACTCCTGTGGGATGCTCCATCTGCCCCAGCTTTGCAGCATTCATGAGCTGTGCCTGGTACTTCGAGGTACATCGAAAAAAACAGTTAAAGCTGTGTCTATGGACAAATTGCTGATTCTCTGACTCAGCATCGAATCTTCAGATTTGGATTCAGCTGAATCAAATTGGGACAGTGATGCAAATCAGCTAATTGAATTACTGTCCCTGATTCAGGCTGAATCTGAATCCAAATCAAATACGGCCTGTTTCACACATCACCAGCTGAATTTTCAACCACTGTTATTTCCAATATGCAGACCATGTTCCAAATCTTATTTGTAGAGACAGGTCAGGATATAGACTTGAGGTCAGCCACTTCAGTGTACTACATTAACCATTCAGTTCAGTGTACTACATTAACCCCCCAAACAGCCAAAGTCATGCTTGCTTCCTTAGGTAACCCCCAAAGTGTTCCTGTTAGTTCTATCTCAACTTACTAAATCAAACCAAACTTCATTTTCTACTCTGATAGACCTTGTATAACCACTATGTGAACCCATATAATGGAAACAGAAATGAAAGCATCTTGTTCATAGTATATTCAGTTCCACAGCTATCTATATCCCTTATCTGCCACCAGACTGACTTCAAACCATAGCAAGATCCAAATGTACATAGTGTGCTGGCAGGTACCACATAGTTTCTGTAACAACCTACCTAACTGATGCAGTTATCAGCATTTGCAACTCCTTCTTTAATCTGTAATCTTTTGTCTTTTAGATTGTTTCAGAGGGTTTTGGAAATATTTATGAGACTCAGTAATTATGAACTCCTTTAGCCTTCATCTTTATGACAGTCTTATCCTGAAGAATCCAGGAAAATGCTCACCATTCTGGTCACTCAAAATTGCACTTGCCCTGTCTTCAAGAGTCCTTCAGCTCATCCTCCATCATAGGTCATGGGTTGTTTCTTCCCTCCAGTTCCATTATTGCTGTAAGAAAAGATTAGGAAATCTTCTTCTGGCATTGTTCTCCTGTGCTCATCCCTTTGGCTGATAAATCTGGTGGTTTCCAAGATCTTCCTATAGACCTTGTAAAAAATCTGCAATTGTCCCCAAAGGGGATCACTAAGACCCTGAGGCATTCACTGGCAGACATTTTACAACCACCTAAGTTATCAATAATATTCTTTCCTATAAACAATGCCATCATGCCACCATGTTACCTTCATATAGCAGTCTCCTGCAATAAGGCCATTTCACAACTCTATCCTTTGTTACATCTATCCTGGATTATATGCTGGAATTGAGTACTGCAGACCGGTGTTCAGCTCAATAAGGGTCCACGTGGTAGTTATTTCAGCCAATATCCATATACTAAAGATTGGGCCATATTTTGTCATCCTAATGCACTCAGGTTTCTCAAGATCATAGCCAAATTCTCCCCTTCCCCACAATATTAAAGAGCCATTCTCAGAGTGTGACTTAGTCTTGGTCTTTGGATCTTTAATGTGCCCATTCTTCAAGTTGACAGAATCATATTCCTTCCTCCATCTCTACAAGAAAATGATAATTTTGTTGCCAGTTACTTAGATAAAGAGAGTAGGAGACTACACTACTTTCTATTCAGACAAGGTGGTACTGCAAACTCATCCTAAATTTCTGCTGAAAGTAGTCTCTGAATTCCACAAGAGAAGGCAGATTACCCTGCTCATCTTTTTTCCAAAGCTATATACCTCTTGAACCAAGGTTTCTCCACACATCCTTAAAGTCAAGATGGTCCTAGCCGTTCATTTGCACAGTACCAAACATTTAAAGAAAAAAAACTCTGTTTTTATGAATAACCAAAGCTAAAAGATCTAAAGCCACAGTTATTTCCTCCCCAAGGCTGTCAGGTTGGATCTTAGGTTGTGTTAACTTCAATATGAGACTTTCAAGGTGAAGCCACTTGCTTTAATTTGAGCCTGCTCCATCAGGATGCAATCTACATCCATTGCTTCTTAATGTGGAATTCCTAAAGGGGACATCTATGAGCAACAACATGGACCTCAATCCTTACCTTTACTAAATAACTACAATATAGGGGAGGCCTCAAGTAGGGAAACTGCCTTTGGTTTGAGCAGTAGTCCAATTTATGCTTGTCTATGGGACTCAGACTCACCCTCCAGGTATTTGGAATATCCCACATATAAGAATGTATGTGTGGATAACAACTCAATATAGAAAAGGAAATTATTAACCAATAACTGGAGTTCTTAGAGATATATGGCCCTCATACTCTCTTTCCCCTATTTCTCAGTCAATGACCTTCAGAACTCCATAGCTGAGAGCAAACTGAGAAGTGGGGATGGGCTTACTGCCATTTATCCCCTCAGTGGAAGACTACAGCAAAAGCAAAAATGTCTCCCGTCAAAGATTCAGGATATCCACATGATAATGCATTGTCAAAGGTGCCAATTACTGGGACATAACTTGCTTCTGCTCTGCATACTGTTTGATCATTTTGCTTCACGCAGGACTAGTGAAATATAAATAAAGCAGATTATACTTAGAACATAATCAGTCTCCAATATCTCAAATTTCTCTTCTGTGGGAAGCTGACTTGCAAATCTGGGATTTTGCTGCAGCCTGGCAGACTTATATCACTAATACAGGAACAAACAACAAGAGTGTATCTATATGATCAGCAGCACAGTTTGAAAGCTTACAGAAAAATACTATTGTATTATGATGGGCAGATATGTGTACATCTCATACAATGGTCAGCAATAGTCTAATACTAACTTCAAGATGATTTTCTGTACTGCAATAATGTTTAGGATAATAAACCAACACCATGCTAGTCAGTCTCCATTGTTTTCAACGAGACTCTAGCTTTTGAACCTGGGCTGGTGTTCTTTTAATAATTTTCCTGCTATTGAGAGTCACAGCAAAAGAATTTGTTCCAAATAAAACACAAGCTAGTAAAGCATACAACACAATTTATCAAAGGACTGAGTTTTTTTTTCAAAGGCAGGCCTTTTAATACACACTGCTGTTCATTGTTTCAACACTAGCATTTCTGACCAAGCCCAGATACTGAAATAACCACTTTGAACCAAACCAAATAGCTCAGACTTTTAAGTTATGGTCAGATGAATTTCCTTATCTTAGCTAGTGGAAGCAGGCCTGGACTGGACTGGAGAACACAGCTGTTCTTCCCAAAGAGCTAATGCCCTTTTATGTGAAGTCTTTCTAATTGCATCATCTTTTCTATTAAGCTAAATTAACTGCTGTATTCAACTGCCTGATCTAATAAGGATTAAAGAGTGATAAACTTTCTTACACATTAAAGAATCAGAACAGAAAAAAAATCACAAACTGTGAATGTTTTAGAACCAATTTCAACATCCTGGGCATTTAAAACATCATGGAAGCTAATAGCAGCACTTCTACCTGAGCTCTTTAGAAATAACTTGCCCTTTCACTTCATCTCTTCAGTGTTTTGGTGTAGATAGTTAGGAACTGGACTACAATATGCAGCCTCATAACCTGGTCAGAAATCAATATCATTCTCTAGGAATCCAGAAGATAAGGCATGCTTCCCGTTAGAGATATTGAGACAAAATCTTGCATTCTTATATGCCAGTGTTGAAAAAGTGGTCATTATTTGTAAATATACTATGTGAGTAGCAAACTAAGCATGGGAAAGGAAGGATCATTGAAGATTCTCACTAAGAAAAGCAACAATGGTGCCTAGCTGATATTACTGTCAAGTTATGTGCTCATACGATTCAAAGGTAAATGGGCTTTGGCAGTAGCAAGAGAATGCAGAATTAGGGATGTTCCTTAGCAGCAGCTGCTAACAACAGACCTTAAGGACCTGGA